GGGCCCCAGTTTGCCGAAGTAGTTCCACTCGCCGTGCCACTCGTAGAATGTCTCCGAAACGAACTGCTCGAAACCGTGGACGAGGAAAACGGTTCGCGCCGGATCGGCTTGGCTTTCGATACGCTGAAGGGCGCCGCGCCAAAGCCCGTCGGCACCGCGTGCCGGCGCCATCCTGTAGACGTTGTAGGACAGCAGGGCGACGGCCAGCACCAGGGCGATCCTCGGCATCGCTGGACCGAACCTGCGGGTTGCGGCCGCGACGATCGCGGCCCAGGCCACCGTCAGCCAGATCATGACGTTGATCTGCATCTGGGGGTCCTGGGGCTGCGAGTAGAAGTTGAAGACCTCGCCCGCCAGGAAATTCACGCCGAAGAGCGCCGCTAGGACCCGCGTGCTCAGTGATCCGGCGTCGCGCCAGAGAAGGATCAGCCACGCCAAGGCGATTGCGGCAATGACGACGGTGGCCGCCAGGACTTCGGTCCGGAGGGCGTTCAGGTAGGAGGCATCCCCCATGTTGGCGCCGCCCAGGAGATACTCGGTGATGCCGACCCAAAGGAAAACCACCTTGCGCATGGCAAAGCCGGCCCAGCCGGACTCGACGGCCTTGCCCGTCCAGAGGAGGTCCCGCACGGTGCCGACGTTGCCGTTGTGCGGCCCCCAGAGCTGCATCGCGATTTCCGCGGTGCCGACCATGGCGGCCAGGAAGATCACGACGCGCAGGAGCCTCTTCCAAAGCGGCCCTGGAGCCAATGTGACGGCGACCAGCAGGGCCGGAAGCGTCGGAAACATCAGCCGCCACTCGAACAGCCAGGACAGCGCGAAGACCACGGCGACGATGGCGATGCGCCCAGGAGTCGGATTGACGAACCAGGCGGCGGCGAGGGCCATCGAGCCGAGGAGAAACGTGTAGGACGGGATGATGTCTTCGTTGCTGATCGACAGGTTGAGGAAGAAGGCGCCGCCCAGGTGGAAGGCGGCAGCAGCCCAGGCGACGTCGCGTCGCCCGGTGACGGCGCGCACCAGCAGGTAGACGATGCAGAGGCTGATCGCACCGAACAGGCAGTTGATGAGCGCGATCTGGCGGCGCGGATCGCCCGTCTGCACGCCCGCGAGGTCGAGCAGGTGGCAGAGGAAGGCGACGAACGGGTAGTAGTGGAAATTGGATGGGTCGAGAGGCGTCTTGACGTAGTCGGCCAGCCAGTCCCGTACCGTCATCGCCTTGAAGA